TGGGAAAGTGTGAAGGCAAGAGGAGAAGGGGACGACAGAGGATGAGATGGTTGGACAGTGTCATCGAAGCAACCAACAGGAATTTGACCCAACTCCAGGAGGCAGTGGAAGACAGGAGGACCTGGCATGCTCTGGTCCATGGGGTCATGAAGAGTCGGACACGACTTAACAACTAAACAACAACAACAACAACAACAACAACAACAACTGTAGGAACCCTTGCCCAACCCACAGGATCAATATCTGTTGATTCATTTTCCACTACCTGAAAATACTAAATAAAATACCTCAGAAATCTGTGTTCATATGTATTTCAAAGGTGTATTTATCAGAGCTGGTCACTAGAGGCCATGTGTTGTGCTCGACACTTCTGCACTTTTCAGCATTCGTGGAGAGAGTGCTTTGGAACCAATCCCCGGCAGATACCACACTCCTCCAGTACTCAGAAGTGCCCACCCCCTCCTCCAAACTGGCCCTTGTCCTGAAAGGCACAGTGGGGAATCGAATTCCCAGTCTCTGGCTCCGCAGCGATACACCTAACTCACTGCACTGCTAACATTCCACAAATCATCTAAACAGCATAGCTGGGGGATTTTGAGACCTGTGTTCAAAACTCCTGAATAAGCCTTCTTTCTCTACAGTCCTAATGCCTTTCCCTGTATTCATAGAACATGATCTGATTATTCATCAGCCTTCTTCCTTGTTCTACTCCCTCTCTACATAGGTTCTGATCTTTCCGTTTCTACATCCTGTTTTTCACTCATAGCACGTAATTAAAAGTGACCCAGTTCTCCATAATGACAACAGTTTAAATCATTACTTACCCGCATGACCCATTATATTCAAATTTTCCCTGGTTCAGCTGCATCGCTAGATCTGTCAAGAGACAAAAATAGCTTAGTACTTCGTTCCTGAGCAACACTTAGCTGAGTCGGAACTGCCTTCTTAATCTAAGGCAAATAACTCATCTGGGACACCTAGCTCATCGAAAACATAATTCCTATGTACTCTTCTCAAATCCATGAATGATCAATCCTACTGAAGCAAAATTCCTTCAGATTTCAAGTGCAAAATACACTCATCACAAGTTTCTACGACATTTCCACAGAGGGGTAATGTATGCGACATGGATCAGCTATTTCTGTCATTTTTATTAGTTAAATCATGGACGTATGATCTTTTTTTTTAAAGGGTTGGGTTCAAACACTGCATGACAGAACAGATTTCTCCCCTTGTCCTCTCTCATCAGATTCATAGTCTATGTGATTGGTGACAGAACCTTGGATGAAATATTTTGGTGTTCTGCACTGGCCAACTGCACAGTACTGAACTACTAGCCTTCAGGCATCTGACCCACCACAATCTCCAATTAAAGCACTGATTCTCCCCACCTCCCTGCAACATTTTTAGAGAAAGAAGCTAGTGGTTCTCCAACATACGACCTCACAAACAGCCAACGGATCCCATGGTAACACTAGAACCCAAACATGGCACACATACACAGTCTGAGCAAACTAAAGAAGGCTCTGCTATCCAGTTACAAGCAACTTCCACACAAAAGAAATATACAATGATGTGCTATTTGGGGTATAAAAAAAAGTACAGGTAAATATTCACGCTATATTTTGAATTCTCCTGATTTACAGAGAAACATTTGACCTCATTATCTCCTTGCCTGTCACCACCACCATTGCAGAATATTCCCATTAGTATAGTCCAAAAAATAAGCTTCTGAAAAAATCAGCTCATAAATAAACAGCACTGTGCTTTTCAGCTACCACTTCTGGGATGGGCCCTCCTTTTGCACTTTATCACTTAAAGCAATACATATCAATTGTAAGGAAGCCATTTGTTTCATGGTTCTGTCCAACATGTACATTAAATAGGCCACAACTGCGATCCACTATGATGACTAATCCTGCAATATAAATTGGCAAGTAGAACTTCCTTCACTTTTCCTGTTTTCCTGCTTGCAGTCATCTTGCCTGCCTAATCTAACATACGCTCTCATATTTACCCATGTGTCTGAATCCTTCAATAATGCCAGGAGCAAAAGCAATGACATCTGGTGGAAATGGACTGCTTAAGCTGCTCCTCCTCCCCCCTACCTTTTTTGAAACGTAGCTACAGTGGACATGTTTGCCTACCTGGGGTCTGATAGTTGAGTGAGACCATCTGGCATCCAGCGTTCCAGAAAATTTGAGGCATGTAATTGCTGGAATCCACTCTGCCTCCCTTTGGGTATATCCGACTCATTTGACGTTTATTATAGCTATGTTATTTGTCAAGGAAAATGGAATAACCAGGCAACATAAAGACTTAATGATAATTTATCACATCTTCATAGGTTTTTTTTTTCAATATTCAAACTCTTGAGGCATTTGCCAAGACTATAATTATGCCATACTTTAATAAAGGACTGTGCACAGCTTAGTCCTAGACTTTTCTCCACAGTAGTAATAATCAAACCTCCACCCCCAACCCCATTATAGCTCGCTCATACAAGGATACTTCACAAACTCAATTGCATGTGTTTTCAAATAACCTAGCCCGACAGATTCATTAAAAGAGGACATGTTGTAGTGAGTGTTCCGTTCTAAAAAGAAAGTAGTAAAAACCCTTATGTGAGATTTTTGAAGAAAGTTATCAAGAGAATTTTAAAGTCTATAGTAAATGAAAAACATTCGAAATGCAGATACATCTTAGATTTAAATAAAGAAAAGGCAGGGTATATAAATCTATGAGCAAATAAAAAAAACATAAACAGTGTTCAGGTCATGATTATCCCTCACTCACCTATCACAGTGTTGTTTTACAGATGTGCATTTTTGTCAAAGTGCACATTCAGGAAGTTAAGAGCTAAATAGCCTGAAATGGACCATATATGTTTTTCAAGGTGAAAAGTATATTCCAAGTAAAGACCAGATATTTATGGCAGCCATATTTACTGAACAGAAAAACAATAACAACCTGATTAAAGGAATAAATAAATATATAAATTGGTGCTGTATGAAAATTCTTGGGATGCTGTGTAAGTTAACATACTCCTCTTAATATGGTGCCCCCACGTGGACAAAGGAAGAAATGAAGTGTCAAGGAAAGCATATTAATTCTTTCTGGGAAACATCATCATAACCAACTGCAAAAAGCAGGGGAAATGTATTATACATCAATTGAACATTTTAGTTACCTTCTGCTACATGGAAACCTTGAAACTTAACAGGCTGAGCATAGTTGATCAGTGCTGATAAGTATGGATGTATATTAGTCGTGGCACCTACATATTTGTAAGATGCCATCCATGCTTGCTCATCTTCTGCAGTTATTACACCCTGAAAGCATATTCAGACAAATATCTCTATCAGTGGCAACATTTATTTCTTTACCCAAACTGCAATGATTTCAAAATAGGATTTGGTCAGAATTTCTAGAAATGGAATATGATGCAGAAGAGACCAGTGCCTGTACATAATGATTCCACGTGCTAAGGAAAGTCTCAGAATAAATTTGTGATTACAGACCATTTTTGTAATATCATTATTGATTATAATGCATCGTCATCACAATAATGGTCAATTACTGAGCAAAGTAAACAAGCAAAGATGTTCATGTCCTGTGATGCAAACCTTAATTTATAAATTTAAATTAAAGCATTGGAAAGAAAGGCAGAGAGAAAAGATAGAGCACAACACATTGCAAGAGAGAGGTGGAAGTGAAGATAATAAGGAATGGGCTCGAAAGATTCAGAACAGTATTCTGAAACCTTACCTTTCTAAGACTAGCTGTTGATATTTACCTTTAATACGGGACAAAGAGGTGATCTGTAGAGATGTATCATTTAGAATTTCTGGACGGCAAATCCCGTACCTCTCCATTCTGGGGATTTCACTTGAGATGCAGATCCTTAAATGTGGCCCACCTGGGCGAAAGGTCTAAGCTAGAAGGCTGGGCAGAGCTAGCTAGGCCTACCTCTGCCCAAGCTTTCCATTCATAAAGGAAGCTCCCAGCTAGTATTGCAGCAGCCTACTCCCTGAACTGGAAGCTTGGGAGCAGGTTCTAAGCCTAGCTAGGCCACGAAATCCTCATGCAGAGGCCTTTCTTCCAGGTGAGCAACATTTAGGGTCTGACAGGATCTGTCTCAGGTGGAATTCCCAGGATGGAGAACGATGAGATTTGGAGTAGAAAATATTCCAAATGGCACATCCTTAGTGGTCAACTCTTATCTCCCTTTCCAAAAAAACCTCTAAACAAACAAACAAACAAAAAATGGCTTATGAACTGAAAGGGCCATAGAAAGGATCACATCACAGAGCATCCTCTCTCTTTTTTTGCCTACATTTTTGTTTTTCATGTGACTTGTTACAATTCAGACAGATGGGACATCCACTCTGGGAGAATTACTTACCTGCTTGTAACAAGCATGCACACACTGCCGAATTGGCTCTCTTATTTAACCAAGAATATTGACTTGGAATACTGACCTCCTCAGACCCCCTTCCCTTCTTTGGAGCTCCTACACCTAGCATTGGTACCTGGTTAATAGGCACCCACAAATCAGATGCCATGACATCCACCAAAATTGCAGATACCATCATTCTCCTGCCCCTTGTGTCAACAAGGGTGTACGATGACCTGTTGAGGGAGGCTGACAGGGGCAAAGTGTCTCTGTTGGTCCTCCTCAACATCTCAGTGGCCTTTGATACTGTTGACCACGGTATCCTCCTGGGGAGGCTCTCCAAGTTGGGAATTGGTGGCTTGGCGTTAGCCCGGCTCCGTTCCTTCCTGGAGGACCGACCCCAGAGAGTACAGCTTGGGGAGAGTGTCTCAGCCCCGTGGAATCTCAATTGTGGGGTCCCACAGGGGTTGATTATCTCCCCAATGCTGTTTAACATCTACATGAGACCGCTGGGTGGGATCATCAGGGGGTGTGGAGCCGCGTGTCATCAGTATGCTGATGACACCCAGCTTTACATCTCCTTTTCACCAACTGCAGGTGATGCCGTCCTGTCCCTCTAGCGCTGCCTGGGGGCCGTACTGCAGTGGATGCAGGAAAATGGGCTGAGGCTGAACCCGGACAAGATGGAAGTTCTGAGGGTGGACCCCCTTGGAGTTGGTGGCCTGGGTGGCTGTCTCTCATTTGGGGGGGTGACCCTGGCTGCTAAGAGTGGGGTTCGCAGCCTGGGGGTACACCTGGACCTGACGCTCACCATGGAAACCCAAGTGGTGTCGGTAGTTCACACCACTCTATGAACTGTTTTATCACTATAGAAACCATAAAACTGATATGAATCCTTGCTGACCAACTTATCTTACAGGGAGTTCTGAATACTTTCATTGCCTTTCCAGACACTGTTTAAAACAAGCAAAGAAGTCGATAAGAACAACAAAACCCCAAACAAACCCAAATAGTGCCCCCTTTCCAAATTGCAGACAACATAATATGAATCTCACCATCCAAAATTAGTGTAGCAAAAGCAGCTTAATCCCTGTTGGGTTCAACTTGCAACCCACTTCTGTTATCTCAGCAAACAGTTTCATTGATTGGCAGCCATGCAACCCATAAAAGCTCTTCTTTCCATTATCCCCATTGTGAAAAGAGGACACCAGAAAATGCCTGCGCACATACACATATAAAGATCTCGGAAGATTTTATTGTTGTTGTTGCTTGTTGTTGTTGTTTGTTGTTTTGGTTCATTCAGTAGTTGTTTTGCGCATCAAGTCCAGCTGTTTTCTTTGCTATGCTATTTATTATTTATTTATTCCTGCACTATTTGTTATTGTTGTATGCTAATGTTTTTATGTTTTTTTTAATTGTTTTTGATATTCTGTAAGCCGTCCAGAGTGGTAGAATATACCAGATGGGCGGGATATAAATCAAACAAATAAAATAAATAAATAAACAAACAGAGAACTTTAGAAGACCTCCGAAGCCATGGGGCAACATTCTAACTCCGCCATATAGGAAAGGGAAAACCGAAAGAGAGAGAGAGAGAGACACAGCTCCGTCCAGGTATGATGCTTCTCTAAAGACTGAGAATTACCTCCTCTGCTTTAAGTCACAACAGAACAATTGTGGGGAAGGGAAGGCTATTTCTTCATCCCATTCAGGGATGTTAGGAGACGATGTACTGTGCCCTTCTGCCTAAGACAGAAGAAAAAGGGAGGAAAGTGGCTTACCTTAGGCAGGGGGGAGGAGGAGGCAACAGCCACCAAATTAAGGCTCTATTTTCTGCACAGAAGCCACAGCCATTCTTTGTGGCTTTTATCTGCATTCAGAAAAAGAAGCTATTTCCTTCTGATCATGAGACATGAGTTTCCTAGATTTCTGTAGCAGCACTCCTCCTGATTGGGGGGGGGGAGCGGAAATGTAGGTTTTAGAGGAAAGGAATGGCAGTGTATGTTATGGAGGACTTTGGTAAAGTCAAGTCCTATCACAAGCCCACTACAACACAATGTAAAACTTTCCTCTCCTCTGCATGCATTGGTTGGATCCAGATGTGCTGTCACTAATGTTATTCTGCAAATGCTTGCACAATAACATAGGTCTGTATGCAGAACTAAGCATCCAGTGCTCTTCTACAGAAGGCTTCATGTTGCTGCTTGCGCAAGCACAGAAAAATCTCTGGATTTATTTTCCACTTTTTCTTTTTCATGCATTGCTATAGCAGAGGGTGGAAAACAGCCCAGTGAAGAGACATTCCGCATGAGTCAAACATACTTTTGGATCCTATCCTTGGTTATCTGAACATTCCTTATTCATTTTTTTAAAAAAGGGAGGGGGCCACTGACATCTCCACTTTGTGACCTGTCCATTTTGCAGTCCCCGGACATTAGAAATCCTGGGAGACCTCCATTTTTCAGTAATAGCCTGCTGTTACATATTATTAAGTGTTAATAGACATCCAAGACACCATGGTTACTTCTAGGCTGCCCCTTCTATTCCAGCCATCAATATTCATTCTGTCCTACTAATACATTTAATTAATAGTCCATTACTTCATATTCCTTCATTTTTTAATAAAAAGACACAATTTTCAAGACATAGCCTAGTTGCTACTAAACACCCTGACAACAGGCAAGAGCCATTAAATGAATGTTGTTGTCAGGAGCATCAGCATTATAATTACTGCTATTATTACTGAAGTTTGCAGCCTACATCTGGGGCCTTGGGGGGGGGGGATCCTGCTTATGTGCAATGCTTAAAAAGTAAGAGGCAGAACAGAGGGGAGGCCATAGACTTCAGTCTTGTTAGATGTCCATATTTTTCTAAGTAAGCAAAATATGGAAACAAAGAACAGACTTTCCAACTCAATACCATGGTTTTCTTTAGCAAGTCTGCTGATCCATAATTATTCATCAGATACTTGCATCCTCTTTAAAATGATAGCAATGAAGCACAAGAATTAAAAAAAATAAACAACCAGTTTCAGTTATTCGTATTGAACTAAATGATGGTGATGGCATAGCACCAGGTCAGCACAGGATAGCCAGTTTGTCCTACATAAATCAGCAGATATCCCAGATAAGGGAAGGATTAGGGGAGAGACTCATATATGGTGGATGCCATAGAAATCAGAAGAGTCTTGAAAGAACAGAAATATGGAGAATAGAAATGGCAGGAAAAGATGTTCAAGCGAAGCATATCCAGAAGAAAGTTTTAACATGCAACCCCACCTCCAATTCAAAGAAAAGAAAGAGAAAGCCAAAGTAGAGTAGGGTATGCAGAAATGAGAAGGAGGTCAGAGTGGCTAGCCACTCTCTGGGGGGCTGGTGATATAGACATGTCTATTAGGCTAAGATAGCAGAGCCATGCAGGCCACCTAGCATCAAAGTATCCTAAGTAGAAGGAGGAGGATCTGGATTTGCTACACACTGAAAAGGGAGAGCCACCATGACCATCAAAAATAATCTACAGAATTTTGAGGAATAACTAAATAAAGAGAAGGGCTGAATGAAGCAGGGAGTTAAGAATGTAGTCTACAATGCAGCTTTGTTAGGTGTAGAGAAATAAAAAAATTGGAAAGCTATAAAATATCTCATGGATCACCTTTTTATTGTTTTCTTGTTCAGAATCGTCCACGGCCTAAGGGGAAAAATACAGATATTATCCAAAGAAGTTGCAGTATCACACACTCATAATTTAAGGGCAGGGAGAAAGCACAAAACAGAAGAAATCACAGGACATGTTGTCTGAAATCTGCCCTTTCCACTAGATGCATCTGTGCGTAAATTACAGCTGGTATTAAAAAGCACAGAGATTTAACAAGGTGGAAAGGGGAGGGCCTTTTGTAGAGTGAAAACAAAGAGCAAGATCATGGATCGTAATTCATAGGGGCCCTGTCCATGTACTGGTAATGTTAGATGAAATACAAGTGGAATGGAAGATGCCCAGTGCTTCATTTTTTACAGGGGCTGTTCAGAAAAATATCTTCTTGTCCAACTAAACTGATTCTCTGCTTGCTCAAAACGTAATTCAACATACTGGATAAATGTACAGTACAACTTCTCTTTCTATTCCTGACATTAACATAGGGAAACAGAAGCCAGCATCTGAAGACACCATGTTGGAGTAGCAGTCAAAAACCTGGCTAGTAGGGTTGTCATCCAGATGACAACCAAGGACAGGCCTACTAAATTGAGGGTGTTGTGTCTTTTATTACTACATTAATCACAAGTATGCTGGGCTACAAAGAGAATCCCCGTCTCAGTTAGAGCCAACCTAAAATTCCAAAGAAAGCAAGGAAAAAGCAAGTCAGGGGTGTTAGTGCTCTTGAATTTGCCATTTCATTTATTTGGGGTTTTTTTAGAGCTTTAAAAGGCAGTAGGTAGTAAGGAGGGCTTTTACTAGCTCAGTAACTAGATAAAGATCAGAAGACAGGTAGTTAAGAAGGAAGGAGCCAGGATATCAACAGGAGCAAAGTTACAAAATAGTTCGGTATTTGAATGTTCTCCTAAAGTAAGCAGGGTTTGACACGTTTGCTTTTGGGTTTGACACAATTTCCTATGACATAGTGCTATCTGGTGCTTTGGATTAAACTAGCAGGCTCCACTAATCATTGAGAAAATTCCTCAATCCTTTTCTCATAACCTCCTGATAACATCTTAATTTGGCTATCACAGATTATTATATTTATGCTTTAAAGACTTCTCTTTTTAAACTATTTATATGATCATTAAGGAAGCATACACTGAATATACCAAGTTAATAGCAGAGAAGCATTCCAGTCTACCACCGGCAGCCGCCAACAAATATAGCCAAGCCAACCCTTTTTCAACTTTGACCTGAGTCATATACATTTTTGGTCAATCACTGCAATAGGCACAGTATACGAGATATATATTTAAACAACCAGGAAACTTTATCACTATCCAGCTACACTTCAATCCAATATTCTTGACCATCTCACTGAGAAGTCACCTACTTAAAACATATGTGTGAAAAGCTTCCCTACCTTTTTCACATTGTTGGCTACAGATTCTTTTTGGCTCAGGTCATCTGCAGAGAGATCACTTCCAAATTTGTACTCTGGATGGGCTTCTTCTTCTTGGTCAGCTACATAAAAATATAAGTCAAAAGAGGACAAGGCATTGGAAAACAAATGATAGCAACAACGCCATCAACAACAAAGCTGAATCAGGAAAACATGAGGTCTCAAAAGGCAGCAGGGAAGCTTCCAAGCTTTTTAACACCTTTCATCCATAAAATAAGTTCACTTTTCAGACAAATACAATGTAGAAATATCTAAAATATGCATATAAGCCAGTAGCTAAAATCCTCTTGCATACTTATGCCATTATAATGCAAACGGCATAGTTTTGGGAGGCAAATTGCCTCAAGTTAAGAAATTACTATAGATATTAGCTGTTGTGTACTGAACCATGTGACTTGGCATGCAACAAATAATATCTATAGTGATTTTTATGTGCATTCTCCTCCAAAGGATAACCAATTTGGATTATGCTAGGTAATTATTGTGGCAAACCCAGACCTACTGGGATCTATCACACAGTTACTAAGCTGCCACCAACCATTCCCTATAATAAGTCACACAGACCAGGGATGGATTTTTAAACAATAAAAGAATAAGGTTTATTTTAAATACAAACAGGGTAAATAAAACAATCAGGTGAATAAAATAAAGTAACGTGGCTTATTCTCACACACACAAGCATACAGTTTGGTTCACCTAGAACCTTTAACTTAAAGCACAGACCCTGAACCCATCAGTTCTGGCTAACCAACAGACCCCTGAACCTTTCAGGTTGGTACTCTGACACACAGTAGTACCCTGTCAGACACCCAGACTCCCACAACAGCTTCTTCTTCCCCAGCTGCTGCTTCGTCCCAACCCAGTGTCTCACAGTCTGTCTCAGCATCTCCTCTTCACCACACAGGCATCACATATTTATACAGTACAGCCCCTCCTCCTGATGTCCCGCCTTCCACTCCCCATAGGATGGAACTTTCCCTCCAAACCCATGACAGACAGGTAACATCAGTGCTGTTATGTAACAATTATGCAAGAGGATTTTAGCCAATGTGGTAAAAGTAGTGATCAAAACAAATGAAAAGGCAACTCCTTCTCTCGAGGTAGTATCATATGTCAAAAACCCTTCTTTCTTCTGCTCACCAAGGCCTTATTGTTAGATTATAACAATTGATAGTATATTCCATGGGGCGTGTGAGGATGTGTAGGCCAAAACAAGTTTTATTTTCATTCTTGGATGGCACATATATGCCTTGGCAACTATTAGCCCAGTACCACCAACACCTGCATCTCTTGGCCCAGTGGATCCCGTCAAGTCCATTAAAATATATTGCCATCCGTTTAAGCAATGTAACAATATACAATTGAGCCATGAGCAATCTGTCTAGCCTTTGAGATTCCTTACTCTGGCAACATCCTATGCACGTTGATGTTTCCTTGGAATTCAGATGCCCAATGTGCAGATAATGGCACTTTTGATTTGAAGGGGATGCTCAGTTCACAATGATCACTACTATAAACAACCAATTAAAATTATCATGACATTTTGCTGGTGAACGCCAACAGCCCCAGGAGGCTATCAACTGAGATATCTTAACCAGTTGCAAAAACAACTTAGAAGGAGGGCAATTTTAAAGAACCATCTTACCACTTTCTATCTCTTCTTCATTATCATCTTCCAAGATACTGACAGGAGCAGCAGTTTCACCAGCTTCCATCATACTCTTCAAAGCTTCAAGCTGTTCTATTTAAAACAAACATGCATGCACACAAACACATACACACACATACGAAGAGAATAGAAAATATAAATTGAAATATATAATGAAATCATTTGGGCCTGGCTCAACCCCAAAAAGATGAGGTTAATAATGGTCAGTACCGAATCACAATATAGTATACTCAGTTTGCCACTACAGTTTGTATTTTGTATGCTACTGGCCACAACATGGGAATTGCTACCATGTCACAGAAAATGGTCACTTCATATAACACTGTGAATACAACTGATGGCAGGGCAATGCTAAATCCCTGTGCCCTCTTTCTGCCAATGTCAGTGCAAACAGGATGTGTCTCAGAGTTGCTGGATTAAATCACTGTCTTTACCTGATCCAGAACTTGACTCCTTAACTGGAGGTGGCAGAGACAAGATGTGGGACCTCGCACATTAAAATAATACATATTCTTCTACTACATTATGGCTAGCTTAACTTTTTTCATAAGTTGCACTAAACGGCACTTATTTCATATAAAAGAAAGGAAGTTCCCTTATCTCCAGTGCATTTCCTTCCCAGGTAATGGTGCACAGAACAGCTAAAATTCGCCTATAATGATTCAATGAACAGGATCCAGTGGTGTACTTCCACCGAATGCCGCTCCCCTCCTCTAGCTCCTTGCACACTCTAAATGCCAGCACAGGGGGTGGTGTGGTGACAGTCTTAATTCTGCTGGCACTGAATGCATAGATATATTCTGGGTTAAAAAATGTACCTCTGGATCTTGATACTCCACTACCCTGTCTGTAATGGTTTGCTTGTTGGTTGCTTCATGGCGCGGGTGGGTGGGAAGATTTAGGATTACTTCTCCTGAAAGACTTTGCAAGAAAGAAGTGTGCATGGCCAGTTCCCCAAAAGAATTGCAAAACTCTTGAATACTGAGACCCAGCAACAAGAAACATGATGATCAGAATAAAACCCAGTTATCACTGACAACTCCTAGTTTATTTGGACTAATAATGAACAAACGTCTTTTCTATTCTTTTGCATAAAGAAATATGTTGAAAATATAACTGCATAGTGAGATGAAAAGCCTAAAATTAATAAGGTAAAATAACAGTTCAACAATATTCTAGACAGTGCTTCTGTAATACAGCACTTCATAAATAAACAGCAAACCAGCAACACTGAAACTTATTTTTGCCTGGGAATAAAAAAGGAGTATACATTATTGCTTCTTATTTTGGTTTTTGAAATTGAGTACAGTGGTGCCTCGCTTAACAGGCGCCCCGTTTAACTACGAAATCGCATAGCGATGAAGATTTTGCGATCGCATTGCGATGTTTTAAATGGGAAAAATCGCTTTGCGATGATCGATTTCCTGTTTCGCTTACCGATTATCGCATAGCGATGATTTTCCAACAGCTCATTGGCAGTTCCAAAATGGCCGGCGGGTAAAAAAAATGGCAGCCCGCTGTCTTTTCTCGCCAATTCCTCACTTACCAGGCAACGAAAATGGCCACCATATGGAGGATTTTTGCTTAAAGGTGAGTTTTAAGCCCATAGGAACGCATTAAACAGGTTTTAATGCATTCCTATGGGCCTTTTATTTTCGCATAGCAACGAAATCGCTTTGCAGCGATTTTTGCTGCACGGATTATCATTGCTATGCGGGGCACCACTGTATTTTAAATGGGACTCTACTTACTTTTCTCCACTTCAGGTTTCAACCTCTTGTTTTTAATAAGGATCTTTTTCTTAAGGTCATTTGGGGAAGGCAAAGGTCTTCCTGGTTCAAGCTGTAAGCAAAGAAAGAGGTATATGATGCACTTCAGGTTTGTACTACTGTCCTGTTTCCAGTCTCACCCACAATTCATAGTAATTATGCTTTAAAAACGAGAGCAACATCTTCTGAAACATACATATACCTGTTGGGCTGACAGCTATCTCTTCCTCTTTTTTACATACCACTTTCCAGGTCCTGGCCAAATGTCTTCTATCATCCATCAGCTATGACAAGCCCTGGCCGCTCAAAGACACTGTCTAAAATAGCAACGACACACAAACCTGCTATGGACTCAAGCTTATCTAGGAAAGAGAGGCTTAGCAGGTTTTGCTAGTCCCTGTCGTGACACGACTAAACAACACAAGGTGTGTAACATTTTTGTAACCCCGGTAATTTGAAGTCCTTCCTCTTCGGAGTTTAACCAGTGCTATCTTACAGGACACTCCTGACTAAGTTATTTTGTTCCTTTGCCATCTAAATTATTTTATTTTTCTCTTTCTACTGCAACTTAATATCCTGCAGTCAATTATATGTTGAGTCCTCATCAAGCTGTTTTGGAAGTTTCCCTTCCTTAATATTTTTATGTTTTTTTAAAAAAAGTACTTCTGCAGATCTTGTGGTTCTCTTGAAATAGCTGGATGGTAAGTTTACAGCTGAAGTGAAAGCTGGACCATAAAGAAGGCTGACTGCCAAAGAACTGATGCTTTTGAATTGTGGTGCTGGAGGAGGCTCTTGAGAGTCCCCTGGACTGCAAGGAGAACAAACCTATCCATTCTGAAAGAAATCAACGCTGCGTGCTCACTGGAAGGACAGCTGGAGGAGGCTCTTGAGAGTCCCCTGGACTGCAAGGAGAACAAACCTATCCATTCTGAAGGAAATCAACCCTGAGTGCTCACTGGAAGGACAGATCCTGAAGCTGAGGCTCCAATACTTTGGCCATCCCATGAGAAGAGAGGACTCCCTGGAAAAGACCCTGATGTTAGGAAAGAGAGAAGGCAAGAGGAGAAGGGGACGACAGAGGATGAGATGGTTGGCCAGTGTCATCGAAGCCACCAACATGAATCTGACCAGACTCCGGGAGGCAGTGGAAGACAGGAGGGCCTGGTGTGCTCTGGTCCATGGGGTCACAAAGAGTCAGACATGACTAAATGACTAAACAACAACAACGAGTTTACAGCTGACAGTAAATTACCTTTGGATAGTACTTTTACAGCTGACATTCAGATAATACATTAATATACCAGTTTTAGATCATTTCACGTGATGGAATGCCATAAATGCAAAGTTAATGTAATAATTATGGCATTCCATCACATGAAATGATCTAAAACTATCACTTTTAGAGTGTTGATGAGCCAGAGGTTGGCAGTTTGATTCCCCTCCCCCGGTGCCTCCTTGACAGGGGCTGGACTTGATGACCCACAAAGTCCTTTCCAGTTCTGCAGTTCTAAGATTATTATTATAACATTATTATTACTACATGTGACATAATCTCCCTGCAATCATTACAGCACCTTGGTAAAGCCATGCAAATGTTATAATCTCCACATACAGTAGTTGAAGTATACGACAGAAGCAACATTTAAAGTGTGGGATTTTTAGCTCAATCTCATAAATACTATCCTACGCCAGTTCTGGTACCTGCTGAAAAGGTACAAAGTGCTCAGAGTTAAAGAGTAACTCATGAATTACTTGTGACTAACTCATTTAACCAATAATGAAGGTGTAACTACATTACAATATAACTGTAGTGCAGCCTCAGACTCTTCC